TCTGCCCATCATGCTCAATGTCGTGGTCCCTCGGACATTTTCCCAGTTTTTTTTTTTGAGGAGATCCCAAAACCAATAACATTTTGTTATCAACCTTCATTTAAGGGAACCAATTTTTATTACACATTGCGTCCGCATTATTCTACATATGAAGAGGGATCAAGCTTTATCTTTCCAAAGACACTGTAAAATTAACTCCTTCAGTCATCAATTTAAAAGCAAGATATAACTAATTTCCATTGCACATAAAAGTAATTGGAAAATGTATTTTCAATTAGCTCGTCAAACTCTTTGTGCTTCACTTTTGCAGGCGATCAAACTCTGAGTAATTGATTAGTTGCCTTCATCTTAAATCTGGCAACTTATTCACAATTGTTCCCTAACACTTTACAAAGTATCCCAAGCAATTTAACCAACATTTAAAGCAAATTGGTTTGTCCCTTTTCCATAAATATTCATTTATTGTCTGGCTCAGAACTTTTGTTGACTCTGGATTGAATTGAAATTTGCATGTTTTCCTTATTTATAAACTTGTTGCTTGCCACGGACAAAACTTTCGGACACACTCGCCTCGAGCCGACAGCACGAAACAAACTTCAACAGCTTATTGATTTCGTAGCCTTTCCGCAAACAGTTTGACACTTTGGTTTTGGCACTTTGACACGCTGGAAAAAAAGTTGCACCTGAAATATTTATGAAATGTTTCTGACACGTTTTTAATAAGGTTTGCTTCCCCAACTTCCCAGTTCTGCTCACAACTCGTTGTTGTGCCGCCGCGAAGACTGACTGCGCGTATTGCGTTTGACAATTCGTGTTGTTAATTTAATTAAAGTCGGCGGTTGTGGTCTCCGCAGGCTCCGACAAGGCCGTCCCTGCGTTTGGCAAGATTTCCCAGAAAAACATTTCGCCCATCAAATAAGCTCTAGCAAAAATCACTTTTCGTTGAGTACGGTACAAAGTCGGACAAAAAATCAACCATAGAACGGCTAATAGGCCAGTTCTATAACCAAAGGCCTTTAAGCCAGGAGAAAGCGAATTAAAAATGACACTCATTTAAAAGGTGTTGTTGTTGCCATAACAAGAAGACGTTATATTAACTTTTTTCGCATCATAAATATACAGAATTTGATATTTGTATTATTTAAATCACACATAACAAGAAAGGAAACTAACAGCGGGAAGTCCAAATTTATATACTAAGTTTGGAATCGAATTAAAGTATCGTATCTGCAATCGATCATAACTAAACTAAAAGTATTCGCGTTCTTTGAATCGATATCTGTAAAGAACTCATAACATAGCCCAAAAAAGAATTAATATTAATTTTTCCGCGAGAAGGAATGATTTCAAAAGGTTTGATTAGTAATACAAATTAGCTTTATAAGAAAACAGTAATATTTTATCATGTCCTGAAAGACTTTTAAAATGTTTTTCAGCCCAGGAAAGGTATCAGTATCACCACTGTCTGAAATCCAGTATACATCATCATGTATTTTAGTATTAATAAATTTGTATTATAATCAATTATTACATTTTAGTCAAATATTTACTGAATTGAAATCTTTATGATAAAAAAGGTTTCGGTATTTCAATAATTCGCATACTCTTTTCACAGAGTTATTGTAGCTCTGGGTATTGGTTATAATCAATCTTAATCTTATCTTCCTTGTCCTTGACTTGCAGTAAGACACCTCCAGAGTGTATTGGAAAGCCAGAGTGGCAAAAAACACTTTGATTCAATCTCGTCAAGCACTCTTAGCGCCTTTGCCCGGTTGGCAAATGCTCCACGTCGAGCTGGGTATCCGTCATATCCTCTGAACTTAACGTCATTAAGTGGCAGCCAAATGATTTAACTCAGCCAGACATCGCCATACAGTCTCCCGTCATCCGCTAGACATGTGTGTGCATTACATTACGTAAACAATTACAAAACAACAAAACTAAGCCAAAAACACAGTGATGGCGGCGAAGAAAAGTCATGGCTGGATAAGGGAAGTGGTGTCGGTGGTGTCAGTCACAAAAATCAAATTTGTCAACTGTGTGCTTATGTGCTCGTATATCTGTGTATGTGTGCCGAGGACAATAAAAATTACACTTAATTTGGTATTTAAGTGGAGACAACAATCACAACACACTCGGAATGGCTTTCTCAGCCAAATTGCCGCGGAAGATGGGGACAGAACCATAAAAGGTCGTTGAAAGTCCCTCGTTCCCCGGAGCTAAGTGTTGAGTATCATTATGTAATGTCACATTTAAACAAAGGCTCTGTGGAATCCTCTGTTCGAAGTGTGTGTGTTGTGTGAGAAAGTGGTTATGGCACAGTGGAAGCACCCAAAACCATTCCAAAAGAAATAGAGGGAATGCCTCAAAGTGAAGTGATTGGTGAATCCATGGGAAGGGATCTACTCAACCCATCTGTATGATAGATGTAGTGAGGGCTGTGGCGGTCCCGAACCCATTATTATGTTAGATCGCAGATAAGGCACAAAACCCAATGACTTGTAAGCAGGAGATCATTTGTCTGCCGGACAGAAATCCATTCCAAGAATGAAGGCCAACAACCACTAAAAAGTATCCATTAATAACAAGCTTATGATTATAGCCCGCGAATTCCATCTTGTATTACTGAGATCACAGGGGATCGTTGCCACAGGAGTACTTGGGGAAAATACCTTAGTCTACCTTCTACCTATACCATATCCTTTTTTCCTTTTTTTTTTTTGCTACAGCCAATCGGCAAGCAATAAAAATAAAATGATTTTCGCTTGGCTTCACCGGCTAATGGGTAATGGGTAATGCGGGGTGGGCGTTATCTACGGGCATGCCAGGCACTTATCTGCCTTGATTAGCAATTAGCACGTGTCCGTGTCTTCCCTGTGCCGCCGAGCATTGAGTTATTGGGCGAAGGTCAGTAGATCCCAGCCTGGGCCAATGTCTAGTAGCCCGTGGCAGTAACCTGATGGGCGGCCTGGCCCGGCCCGGAACAGCCCGTCTGCCGCATCCCGCATGGGCGTCATGCCGAGATTAATGATGTGCCCCGAGAGCCGACGGCATCCTATTATCCTTGGAATGGGCTTCGGCTCTGGGCAGGGCAGGGTTCACTCTCTCGCTGAGGGGTTGCTCCCTGTGCACTCGCATAAATCAAGCAGATTATCAGGTAGCTATGGTCGGTTTGGGGGATTTGCATATGAAATTTAGTTGACAGGACTCTTATTTTTATCCATAACAAAAACATCGTAACGAAAATAAGGCTCATTAGAGCGTGTGTGCTAGCAGGGTGTTTAGTGCAAGGACGTAATGAATAGTTTTTCGCTTTATATGATACTAATTAGGTCGCATATAGTTACTTGTAGTTAACTAACTCTTACCCATTATTATTAACACGCAGATTACTTAATTCAAAGACAACTTAAGTGCATAACTTGATAACAAGTAAGCGTTATTTAATTTTCTTTGGTGGCAATTGTTTTATATAGCGTTCAAGGGAGAATTATTAAGGGATTAATCGTCGTGTTGTTTTGTGGGGTTTCCCATTCATAATTTCCCAACCCCGATTCCATAACATTTATCAGAATCCCTCGTACCGAACCAAAACTGTTCAAGTTGATCTCATTGCCCGAAGCTAAATCAAAATCGCACCAAGCGTAAAAACTTTCCAAGCTAATAAATGGCATGCAAAAGTTTTCAGTTCGCTCATTTGTCATTTTCCTGGTTAACTGCTAAAGGGAAAATGGTTGGCATGGGGAAAGGTCAGGAATAATTGTCAATTTGCTTTGTGAGTCGCTCAGAAACAAGGGGCGGGAGGAGTGGCCTAGTGGGAGGAAGCGGGCTGCATTGGATAAATACAGCCTGACAGCAATAAAATTTATTTAAGTGGCCTCATAATTGTTAACAACAAGAACAACAAATATAATAAAATCCAAACAAAAGGCAGCTGCAAGTGAAATGAGCAATTATTAAGCCATGGAAAATGTAAACCAACAAGAGGAGCCGCAGCAACAACAGGCGTCATAATAAACTTTTTATTCCAGCGACAGCCACCAAGGAGGGCGTTCGCGGCGGGTACGAAAAAGCGTGAGGAGCATGAAACGCAAAATTCTCAGCAATGAAAATATTAATAACGTTAATGAAATACTCATTTGCGAGCAGAAAAGAGGCGGAGACAATAATGCAAATGTTAATGGCAAAGGATGTAGGATAACTGGGGTTAAGGGTTAAGTTACTCCACCATCAAGCCGCCATTCTTTAAGTCTTTAGCCGGTCACAAGTTGTGACCTGCAATTACACCGCTTACAGCCATATTTTGGATTTCAGTTTGGAAATATACCCTGGCCCAAGGCCCAATTATTTTAGTTAGCCTTAATTTTGGACAAGCTGACATCCTCCCTCAAACTCTGGAAATGTCATATATGTCCATATGTCAAAAAGCAAGCGATTTACGAGTACATTTTTTACTACACTGACCCAGTCGAAAATATTTTTTGCGGCTCATGATTGCAATGCAATTAAATAATGGAAATTAAATGTGCCGCCGGGAATATTAATTGGCATAAGCCGAAATCATAACCGTTTCGGGTTCGCCAGTGAAGTACCTTACATTAAAGTCATTTAAATATTATATTTTATACAAAAACGTAGTTTAAAATTTTAGGTTAATAAATTATTAAATATATATAAAACATCAAGTTTTGCAAAAGTTTGGAATCTCCTTATTTTAACACATAATTACATGCATTTAAACAACTTCTGTTTGGAATTAAAAAAATAAAAATAAAAAGTAATACAAAACAGGTGACAGAATCGGATAATCAAATTAAATTAAATTAAAAAGTATGAATCACAATTTAAAAATTTTAATAAAGTGGGAATATTTTAAAGCTTTACAGCTTTTTCGGACCAAAAACAGCTCTAACAAAATCGTTTTTTGTCTAATTTCTTGTTGTTGAAATATATTAAAGTATGTTTAATTGGTTGATGATTTAATAAAATACAACACTTACCATTATTCAGGGTTGATCCGCCGATGCTGCCGGCACTGCCATCACTTCCGGTATCGGTGCTCAGAGCCTGAGTTGTAAAAAGTAGACATCCCAGGCCCACACACAAAATCACAAAAAGCGCTTCAAAACAGTTTAACATTTTGGCCGATGAATGGATTTCGATTTTATTTACTCTTGTCTGGCTTATAAATTATGCAAGCAAACTATGTTAATCAATTACTTCGCCAAAATATGTTGTATCATGTTTTTAATTAAAGTCTTTGAGATTTCTGTTTATTGAAGCAGTTGTGAGTTTTCATAAACGTTTCACATATAATTTAAATCGTTTTATTGTTGTTTATCGCTTTTCTGAAATATAAGAACAATAAATTAAATAACTATATATTTAAATCCCTTAAAAATGTATTCTTGTTTAAAGGGAGAATGTATATTATTTTATTATTACTCCCCTGAGTATTGCTGTCTTGACTCGCTTTAAAGTGTCTTTGTTTGATAAAATGAAAGCCTACTTTTATCAAGTCTCATACTCTTCTAATTGAAACCTAATCAGGCACTCAATCAGACGTAGCTTGAACCAAATAATGTTAAAAAGCCCCATACAGCAGAGCTGGGTAAACCGCTTATGGGAGACTTCAGGGCCGACCCATGTCCGGCATGGCATGGCTGGACCCTACTCGGTATTATCATTGGACTCACCGACTTCCTTCTGCGGTTGGTTGTCTACCTATGTGTATGCAGATTTTTTCTCCCATTTTTGTTTTTTGTTTGCAATTCCTGCTCGTGTCATAAGCGCAAAGCAATTTGCTCCGTCAGCTGTTGTCTGACACTCCTGCCAGGGCATGCCAGGGCAGCCAAGCGCCTTCATCCGGATTCATCCTTCCCAGCACTCCAATCTCTTCATTGTATTGCAATATGAATGCATTTCAATTAGAATGCTTGCTTCGACAACTTCACTGGATTTTCCATTTAGCAAGGGTTATTGAAATCAATTTGTGAACTTAATTGATTTCTCAGCCGCCATTTAAGAGTGTTATTTCAGTCACTTAAGGACGTTCTCTAGCTCTGTTTGGAGCTTCATGCTCCAGCCCCACTCTCGAATTTCATAATACATATATGTATGTATGTACATAAATGTTAGCACCACAAAGAATTTTCTATTACCCAATGTCTAACATTCTCTCATATGTAAGTTGATGGTCTCAAAATAACTAAGTCCCATCCCGCCACTATGCTTTCGCCATGCAAATTACAAATAAGAAAACAATTCGCAATGTATTATTGCGAAAAGCTTTTATGGCAAAACATTCAGATTTTCCTTTGTGCCTCCACCTTCACTGGCTTATGATTTCTAGATGCTCCCTTGTGTTTTCTACCAAGTTAGAAATGGCAATGTCGCGTGGGAAATCCTAAACCAAATGTATATTTACAATACGTTGCATTTTCTTTAATAACAGTTTTTTGGATCTATACGATCGGTACAGCATTGTAAAATAAGTGACACAGTCAACAAAAATAAACCTAATTTAAAACAATTATCGCAAAAGATATTTTTACTTGGTTTGGAAGTTAAAATCTTATATCAGATACTATTTTTCTACCCTTGCAGGGTATTATAATTTCAGTCAGAAGTTTGCAACGCAGTGAAGGAGGCACCTCCGACTATATAAAGTATTTATATTCTTGATCAGGATTAACAGCCGAGTTGATCTAGCCATGTCCGTCTGTCCGTCTGTCCGTCTGTCCGTTTCTACGCAAACTAGTCTCTCAGTTTTGAAGCTATCTGAATGAAACTTTGTAGTTAGCCTTCTATATACTCTCACTCGTATATATGTCGGAACGGGCCGGATCGGACGACTATATCATATAGCTGCCATAGGAATGATCGGAAATTTTTACAAAAAAATTTTTAACTTTTTCAGTTTCAATAGAATTGGATCAAATTTGAGATATAGCCATTTTACTATACTCTACAATTTTGCATAAAATTTTATGAAAATCGGACTACTATATCATATAGCTCCCATAGGAACGATCGAGAAATTAATACAATTAAATTTATAACCTTTTCAGTTTTCAACTGATTTTCATCAAATTTTAGGTATAGGCATTTAATTTAAGTCTTAAATTTTGTGGTAAATTCATGAAAATCGGACGACTATATCATATAGGTGCCATACAAACGATCGTTTGATGTGGAGGAAAAATGCAAATCAGTGAATGTAAAACTGCAAATATAATATGTATAGGTGAATGAAATGAAAGCAGGTATTACTTCATTGTTTTTTAGCACAAAGATATATAATTTGTATTGTATGGTTTTTATTCATAGAAGTTCTATCTGCAAGGGTATATAAACTTCGGCGTGCCGAAGTTAGCTTCCTTTCTTGTTTAAAATATTTTTTAAAGTGTTTTAATAAATAAATCAATGTAATGCAATTAGCGAAGAGCTATCTTTTGGAACTTAATTTCGTTTAATTTGTTGTCTAGCTTGCCATCAGGAGGCACCCCCATCTTGGCTGTACCATACTTTCTCGTCGTTTTTTATTTATATCAGTATTAATAACTGTGTTTATGCCCCGTAGGCAGTATCTCTACCTTTTCGAAATCCTGCAGCTGCATAAAGGACGAACAGAAAAAAACGCACGCACGACTATGGCCAAAGGGAACCAACCAGCGGTGACCGCTAGTCGGCGTGAGTCCGCCTCCTGCTTCCGGGCTGGGCTCCGGCTCTGTACTCCGGGTGCGACTCCCACGGAGCGTTCATTCGATTGTGCATAATAAATCAATTTACATTTTCTCTCGCCTCACGCAAAAGTGAAATGCAAATGATAGGGATTGGTGGCACTGGAGCGGAGGCAACCTTTTTCGCCACAAAACTTAAGCGCACTTAAATCACAGCCAACAGAATTGATCACCGTCAATGGAGCTGCTGTGCAAAATGTGAAAATACGATGACTTCCGGTCTCCAGAATCATAAACTTTGCCAACGTCTTTGACGGTTTCGCGAAAGAGACCACTTCGAAGATTACACTTAAAGTTCAGCTTTATGGTAATTAATAATTCAAAACCACATTGACGAGTTCTAAATTCTCTCTATGGCTTTTAGTTAACATATATACGAGTATTATAAGTATCTAGTTTTTAGAATCCTAATAATTTTTCAATTTTATTCATGCATTCAAGTGAATATACTCTCGAAAAATACGCTCAGTAATAGTATTTTTAAGTGACCCATCTCCAAATCGTATTTGCTTTTTGAGAATTATGCAAAGAAGTGTTGATAAAAATCAACATTTGTCCCCCGCCCCCTTGGATCCATCTAAATAAAAAAGCTAAGGTCTTCAATTTATACATTTACAAGAGTTTTTGACCTCACGACATCATCACACAACATCAAGACACAAATCGCATGGACTAAACAATTAATTTTTCTAATTAAAAAAAAAAAACACACAATAAGTACAACTATAAAAAATAGTTTTTATCAAAAACCAAAAAATAAGAACAAAAGTTTTCTTGTTGAAGCACAATGAAATTTAAAACGACGCTATAGAGCCAAATGATCATAAGAACTTTTATATTGTCAATGATATACCCATGCTTAAAATAGTAAGTATTGTGAGGGGGTTGTATATTTATATATACTTCTCCTAATTGACTTCCTTGCTTTATTTTGTCGGATTGCAGCTGTTCCACCTTTTACTTTATGGCGTGACGAGTTTAGCATTTGGGACGTATTAAAATCTACCCGGAAGTCTCAAACTTATTAATATTTTTTGCAAGGCAGGAAAAAGGTTTCTTATGTAGTTCCTACTTTTAAAATTTCTATGAAAAAAAAACAAAGGCATCCCGCCTTTTTTATTCCATTTAACAGATTATAAAACATTTAGTATTTGTTATATACAACCCGAACACAGACACATTGGTGTGAGCGAATTAACTAGAAAGTGCGACTTTTCATGCTATTAGTTGTAAAGACGGTAAATCCTAGAAAGTTAATACGCCTTACTAAGAGCTAAGGGGGGACGAGATGAACAAGACTTTGATAAGTTACCCGATGCAGCTGCAGCTTCCTTTCGCCCAACGGAAGCCGCGCAATGAGGGCGAACTACAAAAGGCAGCATAAATAAACAGTACAAGAGAGAGCAAAATGTTTAATAACTCAGCCGGACGATGTAGAGGTGGAAAATGCTTGGGTGGCAAACTGCTGGACTTCAACAACGGCAATGCCAGTTTATGAGGTAATTCAAAGCAATATATCGCGGAACATAATAATAACGCAACCAAGCACCCATTAAACAGACAGACAGATTGAAATATAAAAGTGTATATCACAGAGTCATTCTAAAACGTATGCAAGCTTTTCATCGTGACCACTTAATAAGGTACTGTTAATGTTCAGCAATGACTGAATTTTAAAATACCATTTTTGAATTGACAGTAATTTTGCAATTTAAGGGAATCTGTATGATATATCTGTTATTCAGCAGAAGAGTAGATTGCTATTTCTTTTATTAAACATATTTTTTGGTAACACACTAAGGAGAAAAGATCGAATTTTTTACATACATCTATATTCAGTATATATTTTATTAGCCAGATCATTAGTTAAATTGGGTTTTATAAAGGAATAACTAAGACTCACTAACTCTCTTACAGATATGGAATTTTTTGTTACCTAAACTATTTTCATATGCAACGATTCAAGGAGATTTTTATACCCTTGCAGGGTATTATAATTTCAGTCAGAAGTTTGCAACGCAGTGAAGGAGGCACCTCCGACTATATATAGTCTTGATCAGGATCAACAGCCGAGTCGATCTAGCCATGTCCGTCTGTCCGTCTGTCCGTTTCTACGCAAACTAGTCTCTCAGTTTTGAAGCTATCTGAATGAAACTTTGTAGTTAGCCTTCTATATACTCTCACTCGTATATATGTCGGAACGGGCCGGATCGGACGACTATATCATATAGCTGCCATAGGAATGATCGGAAAATTTTTACAAAAAAAATTTTAACTTTTTCAGTTCTCTATAGAATTGGATCAAATTTGAGATATAGCCATTTAATATTATTCTAAAATTTTGTGTATAATTTTATGAAAATCGGACGACTATATCATATAGGTGCCATACAAACGATCGTTTGATGTAGAAGAAAAATACAAATCTGGGAATATAAAGCTGCAAATATAATATGTATAGGTGAATGAAATAAAATCAGGTATTACTTCATTGTTTTTAAACACATATATATATAATTTATATGGTATGGATTCCGTAGAATTTCTATCTGCAAGGGTATTTAAACTTCGGCGGGCCGAAGTTAGCTTCCTTTCTTGTTTATTTAAATATATATAATAAAAGCTCTTAAAAATAAATTATGAATTACTTTTTTTTAGTTATATGATGTGGCAGTCTTTTTTTATAGAGTTAACCTTCCTCTTTGCTTCAAACCAAAATATAATTGATATTTATGGCAAAATTTACAATTGAATGTTCGTGAGGGCAATCTCATTAATAAGTAAACAAGTATGTTTTCAATACTTCTTTGACTCTGAAATAGAAACTGAGCATGCATTTGGTGCACAGTGTTATCTGCCCATCATCCAGAGGGTTAACCATATTCATCCTCCTTTGACTAATAACTCACCGTTGCAATGTCCGGGGGCTGGATGCGTGGCTGCAGCTTACAAGAAATATAAGCAAATCAATTTATAAATAGAACAACGAGACGGCTGAACAACGGATTTTAGTGCTTCCCTCTGCCGTTCTTCGTTTTTGCAACACAATTTAATTAGGCGACCGCGCGACAGACGCAGGGACGCCGGCACAAAACCAACAACTTCTCTAGGCAGAGGCAGAGGCAGGGGCGGTGCATTAAAAATAAACACTCGTACAGAAGTTGATTAAAAACAACAATTCGCATCTATGTACTGGGGCAGGGCAATCGAAAATATTATTATTAACTATTTCGACTGACGAAAACAACACAAACGCTCTAACCCACGTACGACTATCTCAGCGACGGCGGAAACGGAAACTCGAATGCGGATCCGGATGCTCGCGAAACTACCGCACACAACGACAGCCGATTTCACACTGGCACGAGACGACTCGAACGCGAGCTGCCGAGCTCCCAGCATCCGAGGCTGGTGCTCGGGTCCGCCCGACGCTTAGTCTGAGTACTTCGGCTGCGGCATGTTAAAAGATAAACAAATGTTGCGGTTGGCCGTGATTTATGCTGGCTTACATCTGCTTAAAGACTCCCAATGCCTGGCTAACAGCATATGTTAACCCTAACAGTCCCTGTTGCGTTCTAGGGGGAGTTGATTGTGCACTTTTAGTGCCTCGAACTAATGCAGCAGGGCGAATTTTATGATTGTCATGCCAGAGAAATGTGTGAGGAAAATTGAAGATCGTGAAAACTAGTGAAACAACTAGCTGAGAACAGCAAATACCGGGAAACGACAACGAAAAGTCATATACTCTTAAAACACAACATATGTTCACATATAAATAAATTATTATAACACATTTAACACATCCATAGTATATTTAGATTTTGTGTTTTTATAAGCTAAATAACTTTAATTTTACAGCCTTAGCTTTTTTAGTAAGTCAGACACTTGGAGCTACTTGGGAAAAATACATAATTTATTAAGAAATAGATGTAGCCTTGCCCTTTAAAGTCCATTAGAAACCAAGTATTGTGAGATATGTACATATATACATTATTTGACAAGATCTTAGACTTTTATTTAAGCACACAAGAGAGTTGTGGTAAGAATGAAGTAAGATATTAAACAAGTAAAAGAAAGTGAAACACTCAATTTTGATTTAATTAAATTAATAAATATGAATATTTGAGAACTCTCCAGACTCCATAGGTCGCTGCAAAAAAAAAAAAACACTTTAAATTAATATATTTCTATAATTATGCCAAAATAAACTTTTAATACATACAGTAAGTATATATACTATTTAATATTTGATTTACTTTAATTTGGGATTTCATTTCAAAAGTAACTTAAATCCTATTGCATAAAATTAATTTATTTTATTTTTGAATTTGAGACAAATGAGTTATATTTTAATTAACATTTCACTTGGGAAAGCTATTCTGTTTACATTCTCGAACAAGTATCTTTTATGTTATATGTTGTTTCTAAATGTTCACAACACTTTGTTAACATTTCTATAAAAGAAAGGACAAAGCTACTTAACATATAATTTGGGGGAAGTACAAATATTATGCACCTGAACAGACTTCTTACCCCTAGCTTTGTCCTGGCTTACCAACTGTTATCCCTTAACATTTACCATTATTACCCCAGCCAGTAAATAAGCTTCAAGCCGAAAGCTGTCCGTTGGCTTTGGAAAACCACTGCAGCTTTTATCCAAACAGTTAAGAAAAGCTGCCATGTATCAATACTGGCTCCATTTTGACTTTTGCAACTCGACAGCACAACCGAAAGTCATAGCGCATAGGGCCCAACAGCTGACTGTCAAAAGTCGGCCTTCCCGCCCCCCACACACCCGTCGTCAGCTGGCTGGCCAAACAGTAACTCTGTCGCTAGGCTTCCCGAGCGCTTCTGCAACATCGACGCGGGGTGCGTCACCCAGTGACGTCGACCCACGGCGCATGTAAAACAGTTACGCGCTAGGCCAGTGTGTGTGTGGAGTTGCGTTTCAGAGGCTCTCCAGAGTCAAAACAATAAAAGTGCAGAGCCACGGAGTCCGGCCAGCGGAGCCTTGACCCAAGCCCGTGACGAGTGGAGTGTGCAGCTGGCGAAAAAGGCCGCGCTATGAGCCCCAGTGCGGGGCAGGTGGCTACGTAAAGTTATAGGCGCTGCCGCAAAGGTACCCGCAGGACTGCAGCAGGATCAGCGTTCAGCTCAATGGGTTCATGTTTTGGCAGCTGCGCCACCGCCACCGCCACCTCCTCTAACTCCAACTCTAATACCCCTTCGAGCTCCTCGGCATCGTCCCCTTCCACAGCCTCCTCCGCATCCTGCGTGGCCAATATCTGCCGCTGGTAAGACCAATCTACGATATGCGACCCAGTCAGTTAATTAAAATTTAATTTCGTTGACTTTGCGTTGCGGCGCGCATAAAAGTGTGCCACAAATCCAATAAGCGCCGACCGCTGCTGACTGAGCAATCGATATGAGCTTAGGAGGTGCGCTGGGTCGGATGGGTGGGTGGTCACTTAGCATTGGCTCTGCGGCCAGTCCAAGCTGCATAAGGGAGCATATCAGCACCCCACCTGACCGCTTGCCTTCTGTCAACGCGGGTCAATATCCTGGAAGTGGTCGCTGTCCAACAATACTCCCTAGGCGAGCTTCTCAGCCCTAGTAGGTGGGAAGTTCAAGTAGGCAATTTAGCAAGCCTTGAGTTCACAACCCAAATATGTTTGTTTACTGTTGACAATGTAAACATAACTATTTACTTAAAAACTATTAAGACAATGTAAGGAAATCCAACATTATTTGGTTGTTATACTTAGTTCACTTTGTAAAATTTAAATTTATTACATATAGGCGGACCATTCCAGGTTAAAAGCAATGTTTTGATACGAAAAAATTGTATTAAGGTTTCCTTTCTGAATATAAAAATATGCAGTCTAAACCAAGGAGTATTTGACTTCTCATAAATACATTTTAAATATAATAAATATATTTATGATATATTGATGATCTGTAACTATAAATCCAGTTTATCTCGAAAGTGTTAGCCCGTTTGACTTCTAGATTTTCTCAATTTGCTCATTCCTTATATTTAAATTTAATACCAAAATAATCAACTTTGGCCATATCACAATTTTTGAAAGCTATGACCCATTTATATTTATCTATGTCATTATTTTACTTACAACTTCAGTACTTTCAGGCGTCTTGGCAGATCCGGAGCCATTGCCAGGGAAAGTGTTAAGGCAGACAGACACAGCCAGGAGCTGATATCGACCACAAGCAGTCAACGCTGCCAGAATCACGGCCTTTTCTACCGCATTCTGAGGTCCCGGCGTAGGCGGCATTGCTCTCAATTCCTGGACAAGTACTGGGAGCAGCAGCCCAGCTACGCCAAGCTTCAGAGTAACAGGTTGGTTGAACCCCAAAACCGCATTAAGGGACCTCTTCTCAGCCTTATCACCCTCAACAGTGCCATGCCCGACATTCAGATGCAAAACCTAGACGCCTGTAAGCTGCTTAATGGCCAGACCACAACCAGCAGGGAGACGGAAATGGGACACGGGACCTACCACCGCATGTCCACCTCGCGGGCCAGCTCCTCGTTGGATCTCGAGTGGGAGCACGAGTACTCGCAACTGCGGCAGTACCAGCTCCAGCAAAAGGAACCACCCCCAGCTTCGCAAAATCCGCGCTACGTCTCCCTCGAACAGCTGGCGAATGTAGCCACGATGGCGGGCATCCATGGGCGACAAGTGGCGCGACATGGGCGGATGGGCAGCCAGCGACACGGCGGCTCATTCACGCGCACCTCCTTGTGCTCATCGACGCAGAACTCCTGGTCGCACATCTCAACACCGGAATCACTCGAATGGGATGTGGACGAGGAACGAGAGCAGCAGCGTCAGTTGCGCTTAGAGGATGACAATCTTGACGACGAGACCCTCAAACTGCTGTATCAGATCGAGCAGCTGAAGCACCATGTGCTGCAGGAAACTGGCGAAGGACTGAGCATGGGAGCAGTGGCTGTTGAGGAGCTGACCGAGGGTCTTCAATTCCGAGCCACTCACTTCGGCGCCGATGCTGAAGTGGGAGCCCGGTTGAGTTGATTGGCTGGAAGAGGAGGAGAATGATGTATGTACATAGGATTGTTCTTAGAGGTGTTAAGCAGGCGTATGGCGGGAGAAAAGAGTGCAAAATGTCCAATATTTCAGGCTTGTATCTCTTTTTTTTTTTTTAATTTAAATTAAAAACCAGTTCTTTGTTTTGGAAATTCAAACTCAATATTTAATAAGGGCTCCCATACAACCAATCATTAAGAAATCATAATGTTTTTAAAGAAAACACCAGCCCCATTTGAGAATAGTTTCTTACGATTACACGATTAGAGGAACTGCCTCAGTTTGGGCAAAATCAAATTACCATATCCAATTAATGGAATGAGAGCCAACAGGACCTATTCGCTTACCTTCTTTATTCAATATAATTAAACTTACCTTTGGCAGGTTACCTAAGATAATTAATAGAGTATCTGAAAAATATGAAACAAATCACCTTACTTGATGTATATAACGTAATTAGTAAAAGGTATAATAAACATATTCAATGATTTATTTTTTAATAATTGTCTTTATCAATTTGAACAGACACCCGTTTTTATTATTTAGAAAAATACTTCCTATTGGTGAATATAAATTGCATAGAAAGAATGAAACTCAATTTAAATAAATTGTGATTCAGCTGGTTCTTACTGCATCAAATTTTTAATTTTTAGTAAACAGAAATGTGATTTCAATATTCATTAAAAGAATTTCAGTACCCTTTATTTATTTCGAAATACATTTTATTTCTCTTCTAAGCAATGAATTCCGTCACGAATTCACTGAGAAGATATTCTATAGTGGTCCATATAAAGGGTATTTGTAGATATCTGCCCTGAAACTCTCACTTAAAATCGAGCTTGTTATACCCTTGCAGGGTATTATAATTTCAGTCAGAAGTTTGCAACGCAGTGAAGGAGGCACCTCCGACTATATAAAGTATATATATTCTTGATCAGGATCAACAGCCGAGTCGATCTAGCCATGTCCGTCTGTCCGTCTGTCCGTCTGTCCGTCTGTCCGTCTGTCCGTCTGTCCGTCTGTCCGTCTGTCCGTCTGTCCGTTTCTACGCAAACTAGTCTCTCAGTTTTGAAGCTATCTGAATGAAACTTTGTAGTTAGCCTTCTATATACTCTCACTCGTATATATGTCGGAACGGGCCGGATCGGACGACTATATCATATAGCTGCCATAGGAATGATCGGAAAATTTTTACAAAAAAATTTTAACTTTTTCAGTTCTCTATAGAATTGGATCAAATTTGAGATATAGCCATTTAATATTATTCTACAATTTTGTGTAAAATTTTATGAAAATCGGACGACTATATCATATAGCTCCCATAGGAACGATCGAGAAATTAATTCAATTAATAAGTATAACATTTTCAGTTTTCAACAGATTTTCATCAAATTTGAGATATAGCCGTTTCATATTATTCTACAATTTTGTGTAAAATTTTATGAAAATCGGACTAATATATCATATAGCTCCCATAGGAACGATCGAGAAATTTGAGAGGAATGAGAATGGCGGTGGCTGTTGTCGGAAGACTGACAATCGCGGAGGCGATAACATTTTTAGTTTTCAACAGAATTTAATCAAATTTGAGATAGCCATTTCATATTATTCTAAAATTTTGTGTAAAGTCATAGTCATAGTCATAGAATTTCTATCTGCAAGGGTATTTAAACTTCGGCGGGCCGAAGTTAGCTTCCTTTCTTGTTTTTAAGTAAATTCAGTGGAACTTCAGGAACACATGGGACATTTAAAGTCTCATTTATTTACTTATTTAAGTAACTAAAGAAACATTTGTAAACATTTAACAGATTTAAGCTTGGATGCGAGTTTTTCTAGTAAAGTAAGAAACATTCTAAACTATATTATTTTAGCTTTGACAAGCCTGCGCTCGTAGCTTTTTGACAGTTGATTGGTTTCCTCTCTAGCCGAGTTTTTCCTTGAACTTCTGCCAGAACGAAGGCTCCGATTTGGCTTCCACCTCCTCCTGCTGTTGGAGATAAACTATTTAGTGGCGACTTCTTTGTGCCTTTTTTGAAAACTTACCTTTGCCGGCTGCTGCTGAAGGTTACTCCTAGTGTTGGCATGTCCATGTGCCTGTCCAAAATGGTCGGCGCTTAGATCTTCGACCTGAACCTGTTGCTGCCCAAGGTCTTCCGATTGTTGCTGCGTGTTCCAGTCAGAGTCTACTACCTGTTGTTGTTGGCCAAGATCCTCCAGGTTTGCATTCCAGCCAAGCTCCTCCTGCTGCTGCTGACCGAGGTCCTCTACCTGTTGCGATGGCTCGTCTCCCGACGACCGACTCCATTTACCCAAAGACGCGCTGGCACTGGCCGAGGAACCAGTGGGACCACCGCTAGCAGACGCCGAGGCTGTACCCACGGGAACATTGAAGGTGTAGTCCTGGCGCCGGTACTCGTATCCGCCTGAAGGTCCACCCCGGCTGTAGGGCAAGGGAGTGGGCGTGCTCACATACGGAGATGGGCGAGGGGGCTGAGGACGTGGAAGGGGCGGTGCCTTTGTCTCGCCCTCCAAGCCTGGCTCATCACCCTCGTCGTAGTTCTCCTCATATGTATGCGGCGGCTGATCTCCACGATCTTTGGAGAAAATCGGCTTGTAGTGGGCGGTGGCATTGGTGCTGCCTGGATCCACAACATAGCCACCGTCAGCACTGCCGCCAGAGGGCAGGTCGATAAGGCCTTGGCTCAGCAGGAACAGGGTGCGTCGCCAAACGACCAGCTCTTGGCCGAACTTTCCATAGCGGCTTTGCAGTCGTCCCAGCGTCCACTGGTGACGCTTCTCCCAGTTCTGCGCCTCGGCTGCAGACATGAGCTGACGATGGTTGACATAGGCTATGTGCCGCAGCTCACCCTCGCGGAATTGCTGCAGGTCGCTCTGGGTCATTCCATAGTAGTGGGCCACCAGGTTGATTCGTTCCAGCTCCTGCTTCTGCCACTCCTTGAGCTGCTGCACCGAAATGTCGTACTTCTTGGCGAAGTCCTGCAACAGCTGTCCATCCTGACTCTGCCAACTCCTGAGCTGAGCTTGAGTCATGTTCTGGGTGCCAATGAATTCGTACAGACGGTCGCGTTCCCGCTGCTGCCACGAGGTCAGGTTGTTGAGACGTCGCACCTCCAGTAGCTGTTCCCGCACCATGTTCCCGACGAAGATGCGCTGCACGGGAGCCAACTGGAATAGACCGACTTGGTAAAGCTTGGCCAGTTGTGTTTGGAAGGCCGTATCTTGCGAAATGAACTCCAGTAGTTCCTGTTCTGTGATCACGACGCTAGTGGCCACTTCTCGCAATCGCTTCCTCTCCTGATCCTGCCATTTACTGGCCTGCCGACCAGTGTCCACAAAGAGACCCAGATTGGAGAAGCGACGCAGCTGCTCCTGAATGAACAGACGCAACTCTTCGACGGTAATGCCATATTGAACGGCACGGGCCTGGCTGTCCCTGAACAAAAGCTGCTCTAGACCTTGGCGACCAAAGCTTGGGTTGTTCACGATCGTCCTGTAGATCTGGTCCAGTTCAATGGTCTGCCAAGAGAGACCGAGTCCCTGGTCGATTCTGCGCTGAGCCAACAGCCGATTAAGCTCATCGGTGTACCAAGACTTCAATTCTTCGACAGTCACGTGGTACTGTACGACAGCGTCTTGCAAGTGCCTTTGGTCATTGTTCAGATGAAGCTTTAACTCATCGATGGTCCACTTCTGCTGCTTCCGCTGTTGTTGAACTATCAGATCCTCAATATGTAGTCTCTCCTTGGCTTGCCATTCATTCGCGACCAGGCCCTCTTTTTGGGCTGTCTGGTCTAGCCATAGGTGGATGTCTTCAATTGTCACATGGTATTGACGAGCGATCTCCTCGAAGATTGGCTTGTTGCGGGTTAGGTAGCTCTCGAATTCTACCTTTGTCAGGGGACGCCGTTGGGCAACACTGCGCAGGCGGGTCACCAGTTCTTGCTTCCAAGCAGTGGTAGGTTTCTCGTCCCAAATGTTAACAATCTCCTCGTACTTTACATTGCCTTGCGGACGGTCGATCACACCAATGACCGAGAGGCGAGCCGCCTCCTTTTGAACCTATAAAGCAAAGAATTAAACAATAAATTAAAACCGATTGCCGGATTAACTTGGCAGGAATCCGAAAACAAAGGTGAAAGCTTACCCATTTCTCCACCTGCTCCACAGTCACGTGATAGTCGGAAGCGATGCTGTCCAGGCGCTGCTTGTCGCGCTTTAGGAAGTCCACAAACTCTTGGTAGCTGGCTCCGTTTCGCTGCTGCTGGAGCCAGTCGTTGAATCCATTGCTTATCTGCTGCTGCCATTGAGTCTGCTGCTCGATCTGGACCAGACCAGAGCTCTGCAGTCGACGCAGTTCTTCACGTAACCAATTCTCAACCTGATCGATGCCCACGTGGTGGGTCTGCGACAGACTCTCTAGTCGAGCGTGGTCCTGGGTTAGCTCTCGCTCCACCTGCTCATACGGTAGCTCTTGCTGCTTCTTTAACAGCAGTTCAATTAGGCGTTGCTGTTCCTCCACCTGCCACTTGGAAAGATTCTCTACCTTGGCCTGACCGGTGGACCGCAGGTTAATAAGTTGCTGGCGCAGCCACTCCTCGATCTCGGCCACGTTAACCGAGTACTGAGTAGCTAGTTTCTGCAGTCGGTCGCGCTCCTGATTCAGCTCCATCTCAAACTCAACGAAAGTAAGGTGATTCTGCTGTTTTACCAAGTTCTGCAAGCGCTCCAACTCAGAGACTTGCCAGGCGCTAAGGCTCTTCAAAGACTCTTCTGTGCTGCCCCTCAGACGTTTCAGCTCGGCAATCATCCATTCCTCAATCTGCTCCACATTCAAGCGATACTGCTCAGCCAGCTGGTGAAGATGTGCGCGGTCTGCCAGGAGCTTTTGCTCGTACTCCGCCGTGGACAACCCGTTCTTGTACTCAGCAATCAGACTCTTGATGTAGTCCCGCTCCACAATCTGCCAAGTCTGCAGTTGCTCGATGTCAAATTGGCCCTTCTTGCGCAGATCCTCGATCACCTGGTTCACATAATTCTCCACTTCCACAACACTTACGTGGTGCTGGCCGGCAAGCCTTATTAGGAAGCGACGATCGTTGTGCACCTTAAGTAGAGAACATATTATTAATCTATATTTTGATTCTGTAATATTACCTACCTTGGCCTGGAACTGTTCCAAGGTGATGTTCGAGTGCTGCTGGAGTAGTGATA